CCCATGAAACCTTAATACCGCAAATATATTATGTATCCGTTCATGGGCTGTATGCATCTCTGTGCTTTATCCATAAAAAAGTAAGATTTTCTTCAACCCGTCCCCCACCAAGAACTGGTTTTACCCATTTCGGGGCAGTAATGCCCCCATTTGTTGAGAACACCTGCTCTGGATTTTCAAAGTGAACTCAAGGAGGCCCATATGCATAATTAGCACTCTCGCAGAATCTGCCTAAATGGCAGACAAATGGTAATAAAACCAGCCTTTTCTGGGATCGAGATAAATCCTTGGAGAACATTTACGGGCACAAGAGAAAAATCATCCAAGACTTGGAAACTGGCGTGAAACAGGCACTGGATGGCCTTCCAGAGGAGAGCGTGGGCGGTGCTGTCTGCCTGCCGCTCGGGGCTTCTCGGGCCTGTGGGAGTGGGTGCCTCTATCCTGGGCTGTCCAGGCAATGGTACTGCTCCACGGGGACACAGCCCTGTGCCCCAGCTCTGCTGTGTCTTCACTCCCCCACACCCACTGACTTCACTCTTGCTCTAGGATGATGGCTCCCAACCTCAGTGTGTTAGAACAAAGAGCTTTTAAAGATTGTCAAAGCCCCGGCCTCCACTAGGTCCTCAAGGAGCAAGAACCTCACAGTCCTGCCCATCTCCGTATCCCGGCACCTAGCCCTGCACCCTCGCCAGTAGGTGCCTGAGTGCTAAGTGGTGGATGGACATAGGAGCAGCCACCGTGGCCTGGCTCAGAGGAGCGGCTGAGGGCGCAGGAAGCCCTACCTCTGGCACCTGCAGGCAGCGGATTAGGGCGTTCATCACCACACGGGGCTCGGCGGTGGCCTTCTCTGTGATTATCACCGAGGCCAGCGCCTTCCGCATGTCAGGACCTGCCCCAGCAGTGTCCGCCTTGGTTGACTCGCTGTCCATGATGTTGAGGAGGTTTGTGACTTGTTGGAAAGTCCCTGAGACAGAGATGGCACAGGTTTGGGGCCGAGGTCACCGTTGCAGGAGGTGTTCCCTGTGTCCCCGCCTCCCCGACACCTGTGCAGCCTTAGCTCCACCTGTGGTGTGAAAGGGCAGGGACCTTCCTGTCCACTGTACAGATGGAGAAACTAAGACTCAGCTGGGACTTGCCCTCAAGAAGCTAGTGGCTGAGATGGGACAGGAATGCAAGGATGTGGGTGACTTTCTTACCACCATCATCCGGTTCCAGAGGTTCCAAGTCCTCTGTTGCCTCTGATGAGTCCTTGTTTGAGTCTATTGCTGATTCCTCCATCTCTTCCTTGGGCTCTTTTGACATAAACAAGATTTGTAAACCCGGTGGTGTGATGACACAGCCTAAGACGATCTCCACCGAGTCACACCCTGTATAATCCCCTCCCCTTGAGGGTGGGCAGAACCCAGGACTTGTTTCTGACCAATAGACTATGGCAAAAGTGATGGGAAACCACTCGCATGTCACATCAGACTCCCTCTTAGCAGACAGGAGAAAGAAATTCCCCAGCCACCTTGATGGAAGCAGCCACGATGTAAATTGCCAATGGAGGAGGCCTTGTGGCAAGGAACTGGGAGCCTCAGTCCTACAACCACAAGGATCTGGATTCCGCCAACAATCACGTGAGCTTGGAGAGCACCGAGCTCCAGAAAGAATGCAGCCATCTGACACCTTGAACGCAGCCTGTGAGACCCTGAGCAAAGGACCCAGACTCTGACCCACAGACACTGTATGAAATGGGTGTTGTTTTAAGCTGACAAGTTTATAGTAATTTGTTACACAGCAATACATAAGTAATACACGTGTATTTACTAGGGTGTATCCACCCTCTTTTCTAGGCACTGAGAACAAAAGATGGATTAAAAAACCACCTTGGCAAGTCTCACAGTCCTTTCAAGGGGTTCTCACATCAGCAGCTTCTTAAGAGTTGACAAACCCCAACACAGACATCAAGATGGAAGACTGAAAGCTCCCAGATCCTTTCTCCTCCTGTTTCCAAGTTCCTTAATTTCAAACTCTGCCCCAGAGGCCTTTAGCATCCCATGCTCTTTTCCTCCGGGGAATCCTTTAAAGAGCTACTCTGGGACCTAAATACTGACCTTTTCTCTGAGCTCTCTCCCAGATGGAACAAAAATACAAGGCAAGAAGCAGCTCTGTTCTCTGCCTAACACACAATGGTGAGGCAGACAACGGCAGGATGGGCTGTCGCAGGGGGAGACAGTTGGGCTCCTCAGTGGTAACGCAGAGGAGGACCAGGCCTCCTGGCAGGGCAGGAGGGCTTCCTCAGAATCATCACCGTTAGGTCCCAGGCCCTTGGAACTTTGAGCTCCAACTGCCTCCCCGAGTCTGGCAGCTGAGGGCTTCGAAGAGTGCACAGGGCCCTGCGAGAAAACCCCACCGCGTGCCGTCTGAACATTTCTTAAACGTTACCCACAGGTCTGGTGAGGGACGGTGGCCTATTTGGGAAAGGAAAATGGTGGGATGGGATGCTTTACAACCAAGTCCCCTAAGGATACTGTCATAGGATCCCAGGGTGGGGAGGTGTGGTCAGGGCAGCTGGAGGGGAGGAAGGTGACAGGAAGGTCCTGGGAAGAGGACTCTTCCCCCCCCCAGGACTGGGTGACTTGCAGGATGGGGGAGGGTGTTTTCACTGGCAGAATCCTTAGAAGATAAAGAACCTCAAGGAAGGCAGGCGCCTTGTGTCCTTAAACCAAAAGTGGGGTCCAAAGGATTTCCCTGTCACTTGCAGCTATGAGAGAGTCCAGGTCACCAATTTGAGCAATGAAATACCGGCCTTCGGGCGCCTTTCATGCATCACAAGGCAACGGAGCAAGACTCACAGCTCCCTGGGTCTTGAGGCTCAGTTAAAGTTACACTCAGAGTTTGCCCGCCCTGCCAAGAAGGAGTGAGCTCCTCAGCCTCTGCTTGGACACCTCTGAGACCAGGGAGCTCATTACCCTCAATAACCCATTTCTACTTCACTGACTCTGGGTGGTTAGAAGACGAGCTTCCTCTCTATAGTGCCAAACATTTCTTCCCCATAAAATGTACACATGGCTCCTCTGTCTGCTCTTCCGAAATATATTGACAAAATTGGAATAGACCCAGGAAGACAATCACATGCCACCTCTGCCCGGGAAAGGAGCAAATGGGCCTGGGGTCCCAGCTATCCACCTGACACCCGGCTCCAATTTGAAGCCTGTATGTTTAAAACGTCTACAAGTAACACAAAGCAACAAACACAGGTGTGGACAAAATTAAAGGCAAAAAAGCAAGTGAAGAAAATACTTCCGGAACATGACAAGGGATATTCTCATTGGGGCAGAAAGCACTCAGCGAACCCTTGGGGTAATCCACCCCATCGGAAAACAGGCAAAGGAACTGAGGCAGACATACAGGTGGTTCATAAGCTTGTAAAAAATTCCACTTATAATAGAAATAATAAAATAAAAGCAAATTTAAAACAAGATCCCACTTTTCTCTTAAGAAATTGATGCTTCCCCCCCCCCAAAAATATTACTTTCTACTGCATAGGGCGTGGGAACCTGGCTCTCTCTCACCACCTCAGGATGCAGTCTGGGAATATTTCAGACCATCTGCAACAAGATGCAGCGGCACCCCTCCCGGACGCCCTGTGCTCTTCTCTCTTCAGTGCACAAGCCCACCTCCGACACCACCCCTGCGTTTCTCCCCCGGGGGCTCCCTGGCTCCCAGAGCCCCTATGCTGCCTGGAGTGTGGGAAATTACTAACCAGGCGGGAGCAGCTGATCGCTGGCAAGGCGAGTGCGCAGATGCCCCCAGTGCCCACCAGCGGGATTCAGTCCGTCACCCACCAGAGCGCGGGCTTCTTGGCGGCCATCACTCCCCACCCTGCTCCCCACACGCCTTCAATTCCCAAATAAATTACTTGCCCTGAAGCCTCACCGCAGAGGAACCCAGACCGAGACGACCATTGATTAGCTGTAAAGCTCTTCCCCACGGAAATAGTCAGGAATATGTGCAGAGACTTGGCTTTTATTTTTTTTTAGGCGGACGTTCATGCTAGTGTGACGTGGACACAGGACGTTAGCCGACGCTACAAATATACGGTACAGCTGCAGTATTTCATGTGCATTTGCCAAAATAGCAACTGTGATCACTGCTGAGAAGCATGACCACCGGCAATTTTTATTGGCTCGTGTGTGCATGTGGAAACTGTATTTTTCAAATATTCTGCCATAATCACGCACTACTGTTGTAATTAGAGCATGCCATTTAACAATATATAAAATGCAACACCAATGAAAAGAAGAATACCTGAGAAATATAATTTATGTAAATTTATTGATACGTTTTTAGTCGTGGGGAACATCAGAGAAAAACACACTTGCCAGACACTATACTTTGGGCTTGTATCAAATTCACATCCATTTGGCACGAGCAACGATTGTCCTCTCGGACACACTGCCCATCAATTTCCTACATCACTCCTTTCCCCCCAAAAAGAAAACAAACCCTGCTCTCAGAGGCCTCTGTGCCATTCATTCCTTTCAAGTACAAGGCACTAGGCTTTAAGGAATCACCGGTTCCTTCTTGAAATATGCAAAGTGACATCAGTGAAGCATGTGTATAAATCAGGGCCTGCCGCTGTTACTGGCGGAATTGATCGCAACAGTCCGTAGAAGCCGGATGACGTGAGAACCGTCATCTGAGGCGGGGGCGGCCGGGGCGGCCGGGGCGGCCGGGGCCCCGTTTCTGAGTCGGGAAAGTAATGCCGAGTGAAGGCGGGGCCTGTCCGGCCCTCCTGGGAAGCCATTTGAAACGTAGCAAGTGTAGTCCAGATTCAAGGCACTGGAGGGGGCAGAAAACATTTTCAAATATTTCTACCTACAGGTGTGACTAGCAATTAAATTAGTTTTACTCAAAAAGAAAACATTCTGGGGTATCAAACTTACAGCAAAGAATTTCTTCAACGGGCATAACGTGAATTCAACACTGACCGCGAATACGGACCTGCTTGTCTCTCAGTGCGCCTTGGACTTGTTAGATTTCTTAGCTCGCTTCTTTTTCCCAAAGCATCTGCGGCAGCCGAAGGCACAGCATTTGTAGACAACGAGGACGGCCCCCAGCACCACGGCCGAGAGGAAGCCTATCACGTCCAGGGAATGGTACTGGTACCAGGTGAGGTCGTGGGCCGCGGGCCGCAGGTGCGGGGCTCCCTTGTGCCTCATGACGAACTCCACCCAGAACACAGCCAGGTCCAGTGGCTCCACGGGCCGGTCCTTGTGGAGGCTGGAGAGGCGCATGATGTTTTCCTTGTAGCTAAACACGGAGACGGTTACGTGAACGCCTGGGGCACAGACGGCAGCCGACCGTCCTCCCTTTACGCTCCAATCGCTCTCAGAGCCACATGTGAACAAACGTGTCTTGGCTTTTTATCATAAGCCTTTTATTATAAGTGATTTCACATGACCCCCCTCCCCCCATTTATAAATCCCCATGGACTAAATTTCTCCCAGGTTTCAGTGCTGGGACAAGCCATGCTCCCGAGCACCTGGTTTGTCTTTATCTTACGGACGCTACGCTTCCTGTAATGAAGTATTTCTCCCTCTGCAGGAACTTCTCGATCAGGCCTCTATTATGGTGACATTATTATTATTTTTAAAATATATTTTTATTGATTTCAGAATGGGGAAGGGAGGGGGAGAGAGACACAGAAACATCAATGATGAGAGAGTCATTGATCGGCTGCCTCTGGCACACCCCCGACTGGGGATGGAGCCCAACATCCTGGCATGTGCCCCGACCGGGAATCGAACCATGACCTCCTGGTTCATAGGTCAATGCTCAACCTCTGAGCCACAGCAGCCGGACTTGACATTATTATTTTTTAAAAAAATAAGTTTTAAATCTCTGAGGGGAAATAACATTTAAAATCATTTCCATGATTCTATAGGAATCGTGCATTCTTTTGTAAAATGAATTATAATCCCCAATGGTCTTACTTATAAATAGATTTTTACGTATTTGTTTGAATATTTACTGTGCCCGCGATGGGCAAAACACAAGCAGTGTTCCTCTGCACCTTCTCTCTTACCTTTTGTCATTGATGACCGTTTTGAGGGCATTTGCTAAGTCTTCGGAAGTCATTTCCAGGACGTCCAAGGACACTCCCGCTCCCCGGGACTCCATGCGCTTGGCATTGTCCATCTGATCACCGAACAGGGGCAGCATGACCATGGGGACGCCGTTGCATATTCCTTCATAGATACTGTGGGAGCCAGAGTGTGTGATAAAGGCGCGCGTCTTGGGGTGACCTGGGAAGCAAAGAGGGAAGGGGTGCCGGGGGTCAGGGCGCCGCGAGTCCCGCTCGGGCATCCCTGGGTTCTGACCCGGCGCCAAGCCCTCCGTGCTGCCCCAGGGGCCCTCGCAGAATTTGCAGGAGGGAATGCGGCGGAGGCTCCCTGCTGAGCGAAAAGCGCGAGGACCCTGTTGGCCGTAACGCGTCCCAGCTAAACAACCCTTAAGGGTGGCCGCGCCTCAGCCGCTCTCTCAGTTTAACCTTGGTTTGACCTACGCATCGAATCCTCTCCACGTACCAAGCAGATCGTTCTGGGGCAGCCACTTGAAGAGGATGGTATTCTTCGCGAGGTTCGACGGCCGGGTCCCGGTGTACCGCCACAGGACCTTACGAACGGACGAGAAGGGAGTGGAAAGAACACAATATGATTTTTAAAAAATCTGCTACAGTAGCTAAAAAGTGGAGTCTTCAGAATGAACATAACCTTGGGGGGGGGGGTGCAATGACTAAGAAGGGTCTGGGGGCTGGTAACATTTTGTGAATTTGTGAAAACTCACCAAGCTATACATTTACGATTTTTGCACTTTTCTGCACTCCAAGGGAAAGTCTACTTAATACAAGGAGTGAGTGTAAAACTATAATTATGTACCATTGTCCCACCCAACCGCTTTTTGGGGGAAATATTGCTACTTAATATGAAGAAATAATATCCTTCCTATTTTATTTTTTTAAATAAGTTCTCCCTAATACATTTGCATCTCTTAGAGAAAATGATACATCCAAGCGAAGGGGACCATGGTCTCACAGAGCAGTTAAGAGTGGAACTGAAAAAGGGACTTGGAATTAATCACTGAGAAGTGGCCAGAGAAAGCCAAGTGTAAGAGTCCAACTTATAGGATTAATCCAGCCCTGGAGGTCTGGGGTCAGGGACCGGGGTGAAGACAGGTAAGTACAGAATCTTCTTACCGTCTGAGGTATTTTGCCCAACGCGTCAGCAATTTGCATCGCCTTGCTCTCGGGAATCTCCGAGACCATTGAGCCCAAAGAGAAAACCACGATCCCGTGCTCTCCAGAGGCGTTTATGTAGGCTTCAAATTCCTGCGGCCAGAAGGGAAATTTCCAGTTAATCTTTTTCTCATGTTCCTTGGGTGACCATGCACGTGAAGCTACGACTCGGACATCAACAGAGACGCAAAGTATCAGCGTGCGTCCGGCCTGACTCCCTTCCCGAGCGCTCACGACCCGGAGAGGAGAGCGGTGGCCGTGTCTCCAGAAGAGAGAGAGATTGCCAAGGGACGCCCCTAGACGCGTCCCTTGGCAATCACGTGAGCTCAGGCCGACCTGTGCCCAACCTTCAGAGCCAACTCCAGCTTTCAGGATACACACACACGCACATGCACACACACACAGGCACACACCTGCACGCACATCCGCACGTGGGCACACACAGTGGTAATTCGCTCAGAGGAAACAGAACAGGGCATAAGTAAGGTAATTCCTCACCCCCACCCCCAGCTGTAGGTAGGTTTTTTTTATGATCTAATCAACTCCCCGAGAGTCTCCAAATGGTTTTATAGGTCTCCAAGGAATGCCAGGGGCATTAGTGAGCCTGTGTGACGTGGCAGGGTTTGCCCAGAACTGAGGAGTTTCCTGGGCCATGGGACTTTCGGTATTAAAACCTGAATGGTCCTGGATGGACTGGGACGTTGGTCAGCCCAGATATGAGATGCAGGAGACTTCCAACAGGGCTCAGCACACACAGCTTTCAGAGGCTCCTGCCGAGCTTGACTCAGAACATGACCAGATGTCCTCCAAGGACAGCCCACTGTCTAGCCCACCCTCCCAGGCCCAGACTCTGTTCCAGGTCTCTGGCTCCTAGAGGCTGTGTCTCGGCCGTTTCCACCGGGCTCACCGAGAGGTCGAGTTGGCCGGCAGCATCCTCCCAGCCACCGTGCTGTATTTTTGGTTTGCGCAAGAACATCCTGAAGGTACTTTTTCCGAGGTCCTCCCTCCTTAAGATCTGCTCCACAGCCCTCATTCCCTCCCACACCCACTTGGCAACCAGCGGGGTGTGATTGCACGAATGGAACCTGCAGGGCCATAAACACTCAGAGTGAAATATCAGCACTTGGCTACAGTCCCAATGGCAGGGAAGTTCACTGACAGGCCACAAAGGCCAGCTATGCAGATTGTGTTATCCTGGCCACACCTGTTCTGGACCAGCTCGGACAGGATTCGATAACAGTGAGGTCCACCCCTACCTGGCAAAACTTCCCCTAAACCTCGCTGCAACATCACAGACTCTGGAACAACCTGTTAACGGAAAATAACCTTTGAGTCCCCCACCTCTACCTTCCCCCAAAATGAGGCCATGTCTGAAGTGAAAGCCCTTGCCCGCTCCAATGGGGCCTTTAAAAATAGCCCCTTACTTTTGCTGAGAGTTTAGTATTTTTAGTTCCAGGCTCTTACTGGATTTTCCCTTCCCAAATGTCTTCTGCTTTGCAAGAACTCTTATTCAGCTCTTAGGGTGTTGGAAACATGTCACTTTATCATCATGTGTCCAGAGTCACCTACAAATACTGCAGGCTTCCCCGGCGGCCAGTCTGTCTTCTCGCCGCCTTCAAGTCTCTGTTCTCACGGATCTTCTGTTTAGCTATCTTCCCCAGACCCAACAAATACGTACGAATATCATCTCTGAATTTCTACGTCCACAGAGATGGTCCCTCCCCCGGGGGAGGGGAATGACATCTTGGGATTCGTGTGTTCCCTTCCTTTGCTCTCAAATGCTCTTCTACCATCTGTTGTCTTTCAGGTACCTCAAAGGTATGTCCAATGCCAGGCTGTGCTCTCTCTGTGGACTCTCTTTATTGAACAAAGATTTCTATCTTTGTTCTTGAAGTTCAGGACTTTTGCCAAGAGCGCTGGGAATAAGACCCTCTCCACTAGCGGAGTGGAAGTGCAGAGTATGTGGGCCTCCGGAAGACAGCGCCTGCCGGGAAGGGCTCCTAGTGGCCAACCGGGCTCACACTTACACACACCCTAGCGGCTGTTTCTCAACAGGGGCCTCTCGCACAACCCTTGCTTCAGGGAGAAGCCTTCATTCACTAAGCTGCCTGCCTCCCACACCCAGCCACCTGTCCCCCAGCCCCCCAGTGTTTCTGCCATTTGAGCCAACCCTTACAAATGGGTTCCTGAAACCCTATGTCAACCAATAGGGTTGAGACTTTCCCCATCCAATCGAAACTGTCCCCCAATCAGCATCTTCACCCGGCCATTCTGACCACTCAGGACAGTGCTTTTTGGACCATTCAAACCGCAAGGACTTGGATTCCTCATTTGCATGAGGTCAGGCCAGTCAGGGACCCGGGGCGGGGACTTCTGTCTGTAGAACTCAGCTCCCCTCCAGCTCAGAGAGTGCGCTTGCCCTTTCCACCAAAGACTGGAAAAGCATTTCCCGAGGACTCCTCTCCAGAGCAGAGCAGGGCGACAGGCAGGGCCAAGCGGAGAGGGCAGTGGGCAGAGCAGAGCTGTCTAGCTGGCGAGGGGCCTCACCGGAGGCCCTCCTCGCAGCCCTGCAGTTTCTACACTGAGCTGTAACTACTGAGCCGGGCCGCTCCACACCCTGCTGTTCCACAGCCGGGCGTATCACAACTGAGCTGTTTGCACTNACCGGAGTTTCTACACTGAGCTGTAACTACTGAGCCGGGCCACTCCACACCCTGCTGTTCCACAGCCGGGCGTATCACAACTGAGCTGTTTGCACTGAATAGTTTCCTTCTTCACTGCACCCCAAATTGGGGAATCCCGCTGGTGTTGATTGGTGCCGACGACCAAAAATCCTATACACGTGCATATGTTTGCATGTGAGTGTAGGCATATAAAGAACTGTTGGGAATTACTACCTGTCTGGTGACTAGTCCTCAGTTTGCACCCTTTCTGTGCTTTCACTCATCCATTTAACAAATATTGGATGAGTGCCTGTTATACCTTAGATGCTGTCCCTGTGGGACACCAGTCATGTGCACACCCCTTGCCAGGTGTTAAGGATTCAGTGCCCTGGCAGAAGTGGTCCCTGCCCCCATCTATGGAGGAGACGGTCAATAAATAGTGATCTAAATGAAATAATCACAGTATTCGATGTGTTATAAAGGACATAGCAGGATGCTGCCTTAGAGAGAAGGACTCCCTGGGGAAGTGACACTGAAACTGACCTGAAAGATGAGAAGATGGCCACCTAAGGAATTCAGGGAACAGCGTCCCAGTAAGAGGAACTACATGTTCAATGGTCCGGAACTGGGAAAGTTTTCTGGAATGTCCCAGGAATCGAGAGGAGGCCAGTATAACCAGGAATCCATGCAAGTTCATAGACAAGCCCTTCTACTTCAAATGGAATTTCCACTATGCATGCACGTCTCCAAAGTGGAGACTTTTAGCCCAGCCAGTGTAGTGCAGTGGTCGAGCGTCCACCCATGAACCTGGAGGTCACGGTTAGGTTCGAGGCCGGGTTTCGGGCTTTACCCCCAGGAGGGGGCGAGCAGGAGGCAGCCGATAGATGACGTTTCTCTCTCACTGATGCTTCTGTCTCTCTCTCCCTCTCCCTTCTGCTCGCCGAAATCAATAAAAACATTTTTCTTTAAGAGACGTTTCAATTTCAAAGTGAATGTGAAACACAGTTGTTTCCTCTTGGATCCTTCATGACGACACCAAGGACATTTCCCTTTCACACCTCGCTAACGTGGACACGCTGACTAGCTCTCTTTCCTTTGCCCTGAGATGGGCCCCTGGCCCGGCAGCGTTTCATCTCTCCTTTTCCTGTCGGAAACAGAATCATTAACGGTCTTCTAGACTGTGAGGGATTCTCCTCCTGCTTTCGGGAAATCAATAGCACCTACTTCTTTCTTAACCAGACCACCCCGTCAGACACAAACTCGTCCCAGAGGCCACGGAGCACGAGAATCTTACTGCCAGGAGGTCCTCCAGGTCTCTCTTCGCGTTACAGGGGAGGGGTCAGAGCCCCACGGAGGGGAGCTGGTTTGCGGCAGTGGGGTGGAGGCACCAACCCAGCCATGATCTCTCACCTGGTGTTTTATCGACCACCCAAAGTTTCCCCTCCAATGACAACGACACTATCTTTTAAAATGTGAGTCACGTTGAAGGCACACTGGAAATAAGATTCAGTGTTATCCAAGGCTGATGGCTCGGCCCCTGGAACGTGCCTGGGCTACCAGCGGACCTTCAACCAACACCTGAAGAATGAATGAATGAATGAATGAATGAATGAATGGATGGATGAATGAATGAATGGATGAATGGATGCCCCCTGCGATGTCACCTCCTGGAGAATCCTTCCATCGTCTGGGGGAGCCTCTCCTGCTAGTCTCAATGGCCTCGGGAAGGGGAGGTGAATGCTACTTTTTTGCGTACCTTAGATTCTGCAGAGCAGCGATTTTCAGCCTCTTTTATCTCCTGGCACACGTTAACTAATTACTAAGGGGAAAGAGGTCAGTGTCTCCCTTGCCCCTTAGTCACTGAATGTTTTAAAAATCCCTGGTGTGCTGCGGCATACAGGCTGCCGTGGAGGGAAAATCAACAGATGAGAATGGCAGAGGATGAGACTCATGACCTTTCTTTCTGCCCAGTGTCAGGAGCTGGCTGTCTGGTTCTTTCTTTCGTAGAGAAGATGGGACTGTAAGATCCAGCTTAGGAAGCTGGAATATCTAGAAACTGGTGGTTTCACCAGGAACATAAAGTCACCTCTCCCTACTGGGATCTACAGATGTCAAAAACATATTTCAGCAGCCTTGAATCCCGCGTGCCTGCCCCATCAAAGGCTGGGTGCAGCCTCACACTTTTGTTCTCTGCCTGGAACCCTGAGCCCAGTGCTCCGTGCCGACGGCATTTAACCCTATTGCCTCTCACTGATGACCACCCGCCCACTGGAGCCTGCAGAATAAAATGCCCCAAGTACGCTTTCCTGAAGCCTCAGGTCCAAAGAAATGCCCGAGAAGTTGATTCCAAAGGCAGATAAAAATTACAGCTGGACCTGGGAAATGCGCATGAGACACGTTAACGCGAGAGGGCACCGGAAACTAGGCACGCTCGGGTGGGGTCTCCCTGTGGCAAGTTCATCTGCCCCAGGTACTTGCAAGAATAAAGGCTTGTAAAGCTCCCATTCAAATTACACACCTGGGATAATGGCTTTTTGCCAGCGCAGTTGATTCCACCAATAAAAACCATATTGGGCATGATGGGCCTGGGGTAACTCTTCACAAAGTCGGTTCTGAGAAGCCAGATGGACGCAGAGCTCATGAGGTCCTGGACTGTCACCTCTTTCTGAAGGACTTCCGAGGCCAGGGACCCATACGGGGAATAAACCACATTGCAGAGAAAGTTCTCGGTCAAGGCCATGAGCATGTTCCTGACCCGCTGCAGGAAGGTCATGCGGTCTGAGTTTAAGGACAGGGGCCTGGGCACATAGGATGGCGGGTTGGGGCACTGGGTACCCTGAGAGTCCAGGCTGCAGGGCAGCGCGTTCAGGAAGAAGATGACAGGCAGGGCCAGGTACTGGGCCACGATGGAGCCGCAGGGAAGGAAGGGGTCGGTCAGCACGGCGTCGAAACGGCTTTCGGCCAGCGAGGCCATCAGCTCCTTGTTGTGCAGGAGGTGGGAGCACCCCGACAAGAGCATGGCCGAGTCCTTCTGGACCTTCTTGTACTTCTTGATCACACGCTGCAGGAAAGGCTCGTTCTCGAACACGTTGTGCCCGAGGCTGATGAAAGTCGCTTCCACGTCCTCCCTTCGGAAGGGCACGGGGTAGGTCTTCAAGGTATAAAACGCTCCTTCCCTGATGTGCATCGAGGCCTCGGGCGCCAGGACCACGATGTCATGTCCCCTCTGCTGCAGCTGCTGGATGACGCCTCTCAAGCTCAGCCAGTGGCTGCCGTCCATGGGGACCAACAGCAGCCTCCCGCCCCGGGACACGGCCGGGCCGAGCGCGCACAGCAGCAGGCCCAGGAGGAGAGGACGCGGACCCCGAGGCCCTGCTGCCATGGTGCCCCTGCCTCGGCCACCGGGACTGGAGTCTGCCAGCGGTTTGTTCTCTCCCACTTACCTGTTCCAAGAACCAATCTATATGGCCAGTTAATGTTTGATTGTGTCATGTGGCTACAGCTGTCAGTCAGTGGAAGGTAGCAGGAAGTTTACTTTGGGAAATAAAAAGCCTTCTTAATAGGTGGCAACCGTTTTTTAACTGGCTGGGATTCGTCATCAGCCGCTCAGATCACATTCTGGAGTGACCAGGCGGCGAACGAAGCATCTCCGGCTCCTTCTACTCCCCTGAGTGGGCATTTCCCTGGCCCGAGAGAGTGGTACCCGAGAGGAAAAATGCTATGTGTTGGAAACGAGACCGCCTCTCCAGAAATGAAAAAGAAACCTATGCCTTTTAGAAAGCAAAGAATTTCGACACTGCAAGCCCACCTCTGGCCCATGGAAACCTCTCAGCATGCCCTTCTCCAGTTCCACTGCCTTCCATTCATTCATCCAACAAGTATTTATCGAGTCCAGCACAGCACCGGGACCACCACAGATGAGTCTCCCGCCTCCCCGGAACTCACCCTCCATCAAGAGAGACAGACTGGCAACTTAAACAGACAAACAGACACAGCAGAAGTTGTGGAAAAGGCCAGGCAGGGACCGAATGCTGATGGGGTAGAGCATGGCGGGAAAGGGGAGCCCACTTGAGCACGTGGGCTCAGAAGGCCTTTTGCGGGACAGATCTGTACTCATTCAGAGAAGCAGTGAGAGCAGCTCTGTCTACGGAAGCCTAAAACAGGTAACGAAACAAAACCTGAATTATACTCGGCACGCAGGTCCAAGGGCCAGGGAAAGGAAGACGCTTTGGCAAGTTTCTAAAGACCTTGTTGAGGCAAAGGGGAGAGGTGAACAAAAATATTATGTGTTTATTGAGCAAGTACCATGTGCCCAGGAGGGTGCCAAGCATTTCACAACACACCTTTAGTAATCCGCTAGATTTGTCCCGTAAAGGCAGATACTGTTATTCCCATTTTACAAACAAAGGCACTGAGTCTCAGAGAGACAAACTGACTTGCCATAGTCCCACATTTCCTAAGTGGCAAAGCTGAGACCCAGGCTGTGATGGTCAGGGCCTAGAGACCCTGCTCTTAACCACAACTCCCACTAACCTCCAGCAGTGCCCAGATAATTGAACTTGATTGACTTCTATGGCCAGGATTGAACTCTACAGCCAACTAGAAGTCAGAAGTAAAGCTGTGATCCCCACACTCATTACCCAATCGAAATAAACGGAGAGAAGGCAGAGGGCAGGACTCTGGGACCAAGCAGAATGTGCTCACACAGCAATACCCAGCACGAGCTGGTGCCCCAAAAGAACAGGTGAAAGGTCAGGGAACAAATATGACAGTTGCCTAACAGAAATGCCCCTTCTGCAGAAAGGGCACATTGGAATACAGGCAGAACTGAGGATCTCACTGTTTTCTTTGAGGATCCATTGCTGTTCTATACAATCCCAGGATGAAAGCACAGATCCCAATATTTGGACCATGAATAACAGTGGCCACCCATATTTGGGGGATCTGTCAGGAGGGTCATGGAGAAACTGCTAACTTTAAAGCATTGGTGTTTCATGGGGCATATTCTCAGGGCCCCTCTCATTCTGGTACTTAGAGGAGGTACTTAGAATCCCTTTGCCTTGTACCACCAGCCTTCCTCCAGAAGCCTCCAGTCTCGTATGTGCTCAGAGATGAGTGCATCCGTGTGCGCCCACACTCGCATACCCTCTGAAGCTCCTCCACCTCCCAAGCCCTCTCCCTTCTCCAGGACGAAGATTCTGGGTGAGGAGGAAAGAGGGGAGCAATACTTTGGCTCATTGGCCTGCCCCTATCTGCAACTCTGAAATTCGTACTCCAGTTTCAACCGTTAAGGGCAATAATTCTCCTGAACTCTCAGTGTCATGAGAGTTCATCTATAGATTACACAGAGCCAAAGGGCTGTAACACAGTCACCACTAATGAGTTTATGACCCTCCTGCATCACACAGCACCTCAGAACTTTTGGGGTCCTCTGTGCACCCAGATGGTTTGGGGCCCAACTCCATCCATGACTAGGGTGTGTTGTTTACTAATACGCATAGCAGGTGATCCACTTTCACTCTCAAGAATTATGACCAAGAACCACTTCTATGCAATCCAATAAAGCTTCTACCCTAGAACCTGAGCAGACCTGACATGCAATATCCATTGTGAATTCTCCTACTCACTGAGTATATATGTGAAGTGTTGGTCCTGTTGGCACTATGCTGGGAACTGGCACCAGAAAACCAAGTTAGAAAGAGTTTCTGCCTATGAGGAGGGCTCCAGTGCACAACCAACCCCAGCAATGACACGGCAAGGTGAGATGTGCTCTGGTGGGGGGGCATGGGTGGCCCAAGAAACACAAAGCTGGGCAGAGATGTGGTCTTGCTTGGAGGACTGCTGCAGAGTGGGCTGGCTGTGAGATAGTTCCTAGAACCCACTGGAAGATGATTTCTTAAGTTGAAGCCAGTAGTTAAGAGACCTACCATTCCACATTTCTAGCTCCTCTGGTGGGATCAGATTGGAGCTGCTTGTTGAAGCTCCTAAAGTAAAGGGGCTCCGTAAGCAAGTCCATTGCCCTCTGAATAGTCTGTGAGACCTTCCAGGGGAAGCAAAATGGTCTTACTGGAACCTCTGTAGCATTTTGTTTTATTCTGCCATGAACTCTTTAGCAGTTTGCGTATCTGTCTCTGCTACTTGTGTGTGCCTATCTGTCTATCCATCTATATTGCTTACAGGCAGGGTTTCAGCGGCAGCTTTGGAACCACTCTCTTGCTTGGGTGCCGATCCTTGGTTTTGCAGACCTTCAGCACACAGTAAACATTTTTGTATAAATGTTACATCCCTTCTCCCTTTGCTCTAGGTCCTATGTCCAAGCAAGGAAGTACTGAATCCAGATGATTCTACCACTGTCTCTCAGACCCAGCTGCCAGGGTCCTGTTTCAGGGCTTCAGCCCCCAATATCCCCAACCCCTTATCTGTGCCTTCTGATTCCTGGCATCAGCTGTCCCTGCGTGGCCCCACCCAACCATTACCTCTGAAACCTTGGTCAATAGCTTCTGAGGGCCCAGAATAAAATTCAGACTCCTCAGCCTTGCCCTCAGAACTGGGAATGGACCCAGCCTACCTGTCCAAGCTCATTCCTCCTCTCAAGCCCTTCCACTTGACCTCTACCTCTTTCCCTCCAGCCATCCTGGATCACTTGCTCTTCCACAGACATGCCTTATAATTTCCCACATTGCTTTGTTCACTCTGGACTCTACCCCCAATCAGTTTATTACTGCCATTATTGCGTGCCTACCAAGTGCCAGGTCCAGGCTTTATATTCAGTCTCTTAGGGTGATATGAAGTTGGCCATTTGTTCTTGGTGATATAACACACGCACCCTTTATGATGAAATATTAGAAAGTTCATTGGTTAATCATTGTCCTCTTAGAACTAAGTGACCTTTATTGGTGTTGCCTCACCATTTATCAAGGCGAAGGATGCAGGGTCAGAGAGGGAATGAGAAAGTGGGGAGGAATCAGTTGTCAAGAAATGCCAAAAATAAATAAAATCGTGGTTGCCATATCACAGTTTTAGTGGAAATAACCAAAGCGTCCCAAGTTTGGCCGCATCGCGATAAACGCAGCCAACAAGCTTCAATCATTTTGATACTGCTTTGTGCCAGGGCATCTTGGGGGACCCCAAGAATTTTTCAGGGGAATTTTTCCAAGTCAAAGCTACTTCCATAATCATGACATTGGACTTTTTCACTCTCACCCTTTCTAAAGTGTACCGGGGAGTTTCCAAGTGGCTTCGGGACATGCCATGCAGCAACAGATTGAGTGCAGACGCAGATATAAGAATCGATCGAGGTCTCTCTGACTAAGCCAGAGAGATGCAAAAAAAAAAAAAAATGTAAACTGATGCCGTTTTTCACGAAATATTTGTTTTGAAAAAAGTCATTTTTTCCATAAAAATATGATTTATGATAGCGTGCAATGGCTTTGTTGTTAAGTTGATTAATGATTTTTTTTTCTGATGGTTTTCATTCCTAATGTTGTAGGTATCGATAGATAGAACCCACGTAAACAAAAGCCAACGGGTCCTGCGGCCAAAAATTTGGAGAATTCATGTCCAAGGCACATATAGGACTGCCCTTCAGCCCGGGGTTAGACTAAATTCCTCCACCTCTATCTAGGCTAAGAGGAAGCCTTTGGCGAGGCCAGCTTCAAGAAAAGTATCCTCGACCGGTTAAATTCCTCCCTCCTGGATGGACCCTGTGCGGAGCTCAGAGCCAGACTGGGGGCCCAGGTGGGCGGAGCCGGCGGGTGGGCGGGGCCTCGGCGCCGTGGGAAATACGTCACAGAGCGCCTCGGGGGCGTGTCTCCGAGGACCAATCAGATGCGGGCTACGTCATAAGGGGGCGCAGCTTGCGGGAAGCATGGCTGCACGGAGCGCTGGGCCTGCGCCCTGAGACTGTGAGGCGCGCCGCTCACTGTTTCCGTGGCCCCCGTGGCGCTCTCCGTGGCCTCCCCCTCCCCGTGGCCCGCAGGCCAACATGGTGGACTACTACGAGGTGCTGGGCGTGCCGCGCCAGGCCTCCTCCGACGCCATCAAGAAGGCCTACCGCAAGCTGGCGCTGCGGTGGCACCCGGACAAGAACCCCGAGAACAAGGAGGAGGCGGAGAGGCGGTTCAAGCAGGTGGCGCAGGCCTATGAGGTGCTGTCGGACGCGCGCCAGCGGGCCGTGTACGACCGCTGCGGCCAGGCGGGCGCGGAGGACGG